TCAGTTAGGTGTAGTAGGGAGCGCTCAGGGCACTCATTACCAGCAGACTGTAGAGTTCAGGATGCGCACACTCACACACTCGCTCACAGGAGCAAACACACATACACATACATCTCAACAGGATTAGATGCATCAACAGCCAGTGTTACTGTCAGAGTTACATGTGACAAACTGTTTCTTTATTTTGTTTTGTACTTCTATTCATCTGAATCTATTGAACCAATAGATCTATCATTATTCATTTAACGCTGCACATGCAAACATACATAACATGTTCTAATGATAACAAAAATAAGATCAAAAGTGGAAAGCAAATGACAAGTACACTGTTACACATTCACATCATGAATAGCTAAATATCATTGCGGCAGTAATGTGGCGTGCATTTGTTGATGTGAGCTATATAGTTGTGTGACGTGCCATCTGCACACCTGTCAAAGCCAAGGAAGCCACATGTATAGAATATAAGCCAAGGAGGATAAGGTAGTCTTGGTGATTGACAGTATCACTGGGGTTGTCATAGGGACAGCTGCAGTCCTCGCTCTCCCCTGAGGAGGATGTAGAAGCACTAATAATAAGGGAGAGACATATTCACACAGAGAGCGAAAGAGAGAGATTGAGGAAAAAGAAGGAAGGGATGAATTTGTATTTACCCTGAACACACACACACACACACACATGCACGCATAGACGCACACTCTGAGGCAGTTGCCCAGGCTGTGTGTGTATGTGAGTGGTGGGCGGTGAGATCGCAGGTCAGGCCCACGCAGTCCCCATTCAGCCGTACAGTGTGCAGCACACACTATCTACACGGGGGCCAGAATGGCAGACGGAACAAAGAGGAGCTCATGCATGCACGCAGAACAGAAACACACACACACACACACACATATATACACGTGCATACACACACACACTCACACACGCAACTAGACTCCTCCCCTTGCCAAAAATCATCCATGGCCTCGCCTCTCCACTGCTGCCCCCTCTCAGTCAAAGACATGATTATTATTACTTCATCAAGAAATAGTCTAAATGTTAAAGGTGGTCACATTAGGTCAGTAAAACACAGAACAGGATGATACACATGCAGTAGGTTTTATTTTACACTGCAACACACAGCTATAATTTGTGCAGGGAGAGGAAGAAGGAAAAAGAAAAAGATTGTAACTTTATGATGAAGTACTGTTTAAGCACATGTTCTTTTTTGGCCTAAAAAAACTTTCATTTTTCTCCAACAGAACGTCCAGCCACAATCACATAAGAGTCTATGGATTGTAATTGTGGGTTTCCTTTACCACTACACACAGTAAACATGTGATTATGAAAACAGCTTGATTCTGTTGGACATCTAATCACTGGTTGCATTGTGGTTCACCCTCATATCACTTTCCTTAACCTTAACTGTCAGAGGAGGTGTGTGTTTGACTTTGATAATGGGTATGTTTGGTTATTTGGCTTGCAGGGGCATTTTGTCACATGTCTGACCACATTTGGACTGGACAGGATGTTCTAAACAAGTTCATGCTTGAGTGCCGCTGGGAGAGGATGATGTAGTGGCACCGTAGGTGGCAGAGATACACAAAGTCTCAAAGTGTGTTTGCGTGCGCTTCTACGTGTGTTTGTATGTGTGTTTGTGTGTGTGTGTGCGTCAGCGCCAGAGTGAATGTTTGTGTAAATGGGCGAGTGGGGGTGGCAGGGCTATAATCTGCTCCAAACTGCTTGCGGGCAGAGGCGAGGTGGGCGAGACAGTGATACAGAAAGAGAGCAAGGGAAGGAGAGCATGCGGGGGGGGGGGGCAGCAGCAAGGAAGAAATGAGTTGGCAAGAGAGAAGAAATATAGAAAGAAAGGAAAAACAAGGAGAGATGGAGGGAGAAGAAGAGGTGAGCTCAGAGCAGTGGAGCTTCGTACGGCTTACGGATGCTCTACAGCTACTGTACCCACTGTCCTCACTCCACTCCCACCCATTGTCATGCCCGAGCTCCGTGGGCGCCGGCAAGGCAGCTAATTCCTCTGACATTTACGCTGCTTTCTCAGCCCTCCAGTGACGCAAGCCTGGACGCAGCCAATGTCAGCACGCACAATGGCCTCAGGTGGATGAGAGATGGTGGATGGTGCAGACCAATGAGGTGCCAATGAGGAGGCCTTTAGAAACACTCTCTGAGCCAAGGTCCTGCATATTGTGTTATATTATACAGTATGTCTTGAATAAAATAGGATTAGTGTGGGTGGAATAATACGAGAAGAAAACATTGTGGAGCAAAAGAGTGAAAGAAACTAAAGAAGAAGTAGAGAAGAGGGAAGGAAGAAATGGCTAAGAAACTGATAGTGCGAGGAATTTACAAATTTTTCACTCTTCAGTGCCAAAATATGCACTTGGGATTTAAACAGCGAATTTCATGAATTCAGTTAACATCAATATATACTTTCAAAAATACAACGGCAACTTTTTAGGAGTTTGGCTTGTTGTTCACCTCACCTGACATCACTTCGCATCCCAAAATCCCTTGCTGCTATGTAACCTCCTCACTCTCGTGCATCACTCTCAGCACTCTGCTTTTAAAGAACTACAAATTACTTTATTGCTTTTGTTCTTGTACCCCAAACTCACTGCTGATGTCAAGGTTACAAACATCTTTTGGAATATAAAACCGTGCCTTACAACTACAATGCAAACTAATAAATACTGCTGCCAGTGTGTGGATTTGGTTTGTGTTGAGGGCAGTGTGAGAACATCTTGGCAAAATGACAGCGATGGAAAGTGAATGAAGTGTGTAGGGAATGTAGCATTTTTACTGAAAACTCTAAACTTGATTGTTTATGAACAAACAATTCAAATCTTTCTTTTGGGATTATGTATTTCAAAGAACACAGATGCGGTACAAGAGTAATAACAAAACAAAAATGTATACATACAGACAGCAAAGACAAAATGTGTCACAGTAACAGGGCCTTGTCTAATGTAGCCAATAATGCTAACACGCTATTAAATCATAAATAAATTCTTCAACTGGAAGTGGAGATACGAGCTCGATGGTCGACAGGTGAAGTTATGCTGTGTGAATGTTATTCAGACTCACTAGTTTGAAATAGTTTATGACATTTTTGGGGAAAAAAATAACATTAATATACCACTTCTGTCTAACCTCCACAGCCTGCATGTGCAAAGTGCTGAAGGGTAGCTAATTAAATGAATCGCTTGCTAGGAAAACACACTCACTTGTACATGATACTGTAAAAGTGGAAATTCGGCCAGGAAGTGTAGCACCCAGCTAGCAAAAGATCAGAGGGGTGGCAGCTTACCATCTGTGGGCAGATCACTTGGTCATTAGCCGTCCCCTGTCGGCCCTTTGCTGGCACGCCGCTCAGAAAGTGGTTGAAACATGATGATGTATTGGAGTTTTATGAAAGTAAAATTATTTCACAGCGCAGAGGCTTGTGTGGCTTTTTTAAGTTTACTTTTGAACTGACCCAGAAAAAATGTCTTAAAACTGAACAAAATGTCGTTAAAAAACGAGAGTCTCAGTTTAGTTTAGCAGTTTTCAGTTCATTTTATAACTTTCAGCAGATAACCAGTTCCTACAGCAGCTCTTCTGGACAGATTTCTTGGCAAACCTTTTCCAGACACAAGTTTTGCTGAAATTTGATGTGTTTATTTATATTTACTGTATAGTATATCATTGCAACTGTGACACCAAAATACTTTGAGTATGCGCTGTGCATGTGCTGCACCTCCGGGAAATGTGTCGGACATAAACACATTTGTATGTTACATGGGTGTGTAAGGCATTCCACAGTAGCTATGAACTCACCACCTGAGCATGTTGACTTGCAGGCAGGATGCTTTGACAGGATATAAACACCAGTCACCAGTTCTGGTCTTACTTACGCTAATTGCCAGTAATAGATTGTATCTGTAGACATGAAGTCATTACCTGTACAAGTCCAACGCAAACATTTAAACATGATTTTATCATAGTGCTTTTGTTGTTTGTTGTGTTAACATCATTACTTGAATACCTTTTTTTTTTTTTGTCAGACTCCAGGGTTGAACTTGCAGCTTTGTGTCAACACATAAAAGGTGTCATCATCTGTCTTCCTCTCAAATGTGGGAAGAAGAGGTAAATGGCAGGTATACGGTTTAAGTGTATTTCTGTTGAATATAACAGAGTGCACTCTCATAGTCATATAACATGCAGAGTCCTGTCTCTTTATAGAGCAGCCTGGGGCTCATACTGTTCACTTTTTCAACAGTATCTCATCTTAACCTCCATTTGCTTTTTTCTCTCTTCCTTCACGTCTGAGTCTCTTCCCCTGCATCCCTCCTTGTACTCTGCAGGGACGCACTGATAGATATAATTGTCAGGACGCTCACATAGCCCGAGGGAACAAACTAATGCACGCACGCACGCACACACACACGCACACACACACACACACAGACATACATACATAGACACGTTCATTACTACCTTACATAACTCACTAACATGTACTTTAAGTTAGACAAAGTGGAATGCACAACAGTGGCATTTTGACACCACACACGACATGTGAATCCATCAGTTTAATGATGTGACGGCCTCGAGAAAAATCCAGAACTTGTCATTCCTGAATTGCCTTTGCAAATGACTGTAAAGTAAATGCAAATATCTCTTTGTGGGTTTTAACGCTCGCAGCTTAAACATGCAAATGATAGATAGGATCCATTCTCTTGCAGAGGGGTTGCTTTGTTGATTATCGTCTGTACACTGACAAGTTCTCTCTCTCTCTCTCACCATTTTTTTGATTTTATTTCTCCAAGTCTTTGTAAGAGTCCGGGATCCCTCCATCTTCTGTCCATCCTTGTCTCTCTCTCTGTTCATTATAGCCAGCCTTGAACTTGAACACAGTCCAGGAAGGTAAGTGTTTGCACTGTCATTGGTCACTGATCACTCTGAATAAAAATCTTTCTTTTTTTCCCCCTTCTCTCTGATGTCACATCTTTGTTTCTGCAAAGGCGTGGGTTCAATCAGAGTTCGCGGCTGGAGTGGAAAAAATCTGGAGGGATGTTATCTCGGGTGGGATGATGGGAGTGACACTGACCAGAGATCAAATGATGAGATGTAAGATTGATTTGACCATCCTTTAGTCATGTCAGTGATGACAACTGCTTTCCGAGAACATGAAAATGAACAATAGATTCCTTAAAGTACATTTGTCACTTCCTAACTATATAAAATAATTCAAACACCGACGACTCAAAACATATTTGCCACAGAAAGAAATCAGTGTTTTGTCGTTGTTGTTTTATACTCATATCAAATCAAAGATCATTTGTGTGTCTAATGCTTTCTCTCTGCCAACTCTCTCTCTCTCTATCCCCACCTCCCACATACAGCATATACACACATGCTGGGTGGATACAGACATGGCCCCAGCATCAAAGAAGTGAAGATTGAAGACAAAGTCATTATGATTGAGCTGCAATCTGTGACCCCCCTCCTTGCAGCCTCCAGTGCTCACCCGGATAGATCTAAATGATATTGACAGTTGAATAAATTTTCTGCATGAAATCATGTCAGCTCGAGCATGCCGTCCCCCCACCCCATAGCCGCCGCTTTCTCCCCTCCTCTATAGCCCACTGGAGTGCTAAATAATTACATTAGTTTCCAGAGGCTAATTTGACTGAGAGCAATAATTCTGGTCCCATACCACCATAGCTGTTTTCATATATTTAATATTGGTATTGGTTACTGCAGTACCAATATTGTGTGTGTTGTAGATTGATAATTAAGAATTTGGACTGTGGTGTAGCTGCAGTGATGTCTGTCATCATCAGATATTAATTATCAGGTCACCTTGGTATTTCACAGAAGGAACTGTCACAGCAGCCACATCAATGCATAATTTGCAAACACCTCCAGTGTTGTATCAACCAGTAAACATGGAGAAAGACTCTGCGGGGCCAATGCAGAACTAAGTGATTAATATACAGTACCTTCATATGGGGCACATGTTCTCATTCTGTCATAAAATAGAGGAAGTGCACATATGAAATCCAGTTGTAAAATTGTAGTTCCCCAGGTCCGAACACCGTGGCGACGGTGGAAACTCACAAAAAACTGAGGACAGATCAATATATATAACAATTAAGAAAGCACTAGAACAATAGAAATTAACATTAGAAGTAATAAAAGTAAACACAAACCCATCTGGAAAGCCAGTTAACATGCAATGTTATACCTGGTTCATTAAAAGAGAGTGCTTGGGCTATGCTTTGTTAATGCATAATGTCTTACCTGACTCAGATAGACTTCTAATAGATCCATTCATCATGATCTGTCTGTAAACAGTGTGACTTATGAGGCTTATATGGCCTTTATGTCTGTTTAATGACATATTGTGAGCCTCTAATAGTCACTGTTTATTCCTTAAGAACTGTAATTTATGACTTCATCAGGTCTTTTATGTGTGTTTAATGACATTACAATTACAGAAATAACACAGCATTAACACGATGTATAATAGTGCGTGTTTACTGTTGGCGAATGCTTTGACCTTTACATGTCTGCAGACTACAGTACAATGGGGCTGTTTGGCTGCAGTTTCCTGAGATGGGTTTATGTGTTTTGGTGGTAGACACACTGCTGTCTGCTAGTGATGTTGTGTAACTCTGTTGGGTTTGACTGGTCTTTTCACTGCCGGAGTATCTGCCCCCTGGTATTTGGAACAGCGAACGTCTGACTCTTGTGACTACAAGACTGAATTCTCTTGATTGTGTGTGTGTGTGTGTGTGTGTGTGTGTGTGTGTGTGTGTGTGTAGGGGTGTGATCTAACAGCATAATAAAAGAGCAGTTACATCATCTAAGAAAAAAGACAGAATGCTCTCTCTTTGCCTACAGCCTTTCAGTCAAAACAAGGCGCTATTGGACTACTCTGTCTGTGTCTCAGAATTCATGTGAGACTCAATGTGTTTCCTATTAAAGAGTGGCTGTGTGTGTTTTCACTGTTAGGTCATTGTCACATTAAAAAAATGACAATTTATTCCACATTTTTTTTTTCATGTGCATCGTCATAACTCTTCTGGGAAGAGTTATGTTGTGTGAGACAGGAAGTACGAGGATTGGAGAATGGACAAAGGTCATTGGCTGCAGGGTTAAGGCAACACGGGTTAAGTAGCGTTAAAGCTTCCTCTCACTGAAAAGCCCTTTAATCCTGATGAGGACAAACAACTCGCTAAAGCACACACACATTCAGTAACACACACACATGCACACACAAAAACACAGACTTTACTGATGAGAGAGCCAAGGGTCACCCTGAAGGATAAATGCTGATAATGATAAAAACAGTGCTTCCTCAACGCAACTCAAGACAAACACACAGACATATGTGCACCACACATGTAAATAAAGTCCTCATCTGCTCAGGACATAAGTTGTGGTCATTGTATTTTTAGGAACCAAAATCATGTTGTGAGAGTCAAATGTGTTTCCCAGTTTGAAGGCCAGACACACATTTCCACTTCCCCTCGTCGCTCATCATCATTCCATCTCGCCATCATTACCCCTGACCCCGACGCTCAAAGTAGTTTTACCCAAATTTCTCTGTCTCCCTCATCTCATCTCTGCTCCCTTGGCAGCTGTGTCAACACCCACAGGCCTCTAGCCTTAAACAAACCTTCCACACAGCCATTGTACACCATGCCACTCCCCTCACGCAGCTACAGGAAGGCTGCACTGACAACTCTATAAATGCTGGCAGTCAGTCCCTGAACAACATTGATTTTGTTCCAATCAATCCAGAGAGATTGCAACGCATGGTAAATGACACAGCCTGTGTGCCATAGCATACGTTCCAGCTTTAATTGTTGCTGGGCAGACTCGACCGGCCCAAATGGTGGGTTGGTCCCGCGAGAGTTACGACAGCGCGAAACATCAGCGTGCTGTCTGTTTGCTGGAGCTCTGTGGGAGGCCCAGCTGTCAGCCATATCTCAAGTCTGACTGGACAAACTTGATCCCCAGCCAACAAAAATGGCTTTCACCATTATTTCAAACACTCTGTCCAGCAGTATTTCAGCACGAAACATCAAAAACATTTAAAGTCTTACTTAATTTAGGCGATAACAAGGCAAATTTAAATTTATTCATCTTACTTTCTGTATTATTATTGTAAAGAAATATTATGAAATATGCCCATTCACTTTCTTGTATCTGTCCATTAAAGCTAGAAAGGTACAAGCTGAGTTGAGCTAGCAAAGTTAACATAAAATCGGAAACAGGGACAAACAGCTAGCCTGCATCTGAACCAAAGTTAACAAAATCTCCCTACCAGCAGCTCACTAACTAAAATATATAAATTCATACAAAAACCAAAGTGTAAATTCACTGTCCTGGCTAGAGTTTCCCACTGTTTCAATTTCTTGTGCTATGCTAACCTAACCGCCTCTTGGCCATAGTTTCATATTTAACAACTATGAGAGTGGTATTGATCTTTTCATCTAACTCTCTGCAAGATAGGAACTAAGCAAATCTCCCAAAACGTCTGTCTTTTCCTTTAATCATTACTTCAGTCATTTTTCAGGAACCACCATTTCCGTCTCCACCTATGAGCTTTTGATTGCTAACATAAATTGATATTGCAGGCCCTTGTTGGCGGAGCGTATGCACGGTCAAGGAACTGCTGTGGCTGTTATTCTAGCTGTCAGGCTTTGTTTACCTTTCATTCGAACATTTTCCTGTCTCTCATTCCTAAGTTTTGTATGTTTTCTCTTCACCCCGCCTGTTATTTTGTGTCATAACAAAGTGAGTTATATTCCCTCCTCCAATACTTTTCTCATCCTCTCTCCTTATGGTTGATTTTGCTGTTTATGTTTCCACTCTATCATTCTTCTCCCCTCGGACGGAGCAGAGATGAGACAAGGCTTGCTATTCTACTCTGTGTGATGTGGGTTTTAGGCGTGTTTGTGTGTGTGGTATGGTTTCGGCACAGGGCATGTTTCAGAAAATATGTCGGGAGAGGTGTGAGCGAGCTGTGTGACGTCTGCTGATGCAGGTCTGTGAGTTTGCGTCTTACACGAGCTACATCATGCTGCATTTTTATCTTCCTTCATCTTTACGGACACAGATTGTGAGAGGATGGGGTGGAGTGGTGTAGGGTGGGGGGAGTCTTGTGCTGACAGGCAGCCTGCTGCCTCCTGACTGTAGAAAAATATTAATGTACCAGTGAGCAGGAACACTGCCAGCACTCTCTTTCTCTCTGTTTCAGTCCATGTCTGATTGCTGGGAATGACTTCTAGACTTTTATGAGTTTTGCTGCTGGACCTGCCGCAGGCTTGGCTTAAGGCCCTGACAGGGATCAGAGTAGCATAACAGCACTCACACTGGGACACACACACACACACACACACACACACACACACACACACACACACACACAGTGGCAGTAAATGTGTCTGGTAAGAAATGTGAATCATATGTACATGTCCTCCCTTTTCGTCCCTGGAAATTCTCAGTGGTGATGTGTTATGCCACTGGTTATACAGGAGGCTGCTGGACACTGGTCGCAGCATTCACTTAGAGACACACACACACATACACACACACACAAGGAGGAACAGGAACAGTTAGACCACGTAGAGAACCTGCAGACAACCTGAACAGCCTTGGGCCAGCAGACAAGGGGATTATGCCAAGCTTGAGCGGCTGCCTAGCGAGGCAAAGGGCACTGGGAGCAGATCTGACGTACTGCTGAGAATCCAGTACGTAATCATATACGACAGCAGAGCTGGTCAGGGATAATAAAGATAAACATTTGCTCTTCAGGTTATTTCCTGAGCCTGGTGCTAAATTTGGACTGGTGACTGCCAAGCAGTGTCTCGCCCAACTCGACCAACCTGTGGCTCAAGGCCATTTCCTATTGGCTTTTCTCCTGCTCTCCCTCTCTCTCTCTAACAGATATGATAATGTACAGTATACAGACTTTATGCTGACACACAACCAGAGAAAATACAGAGAGAGCAAAATTTTATTAATCAGTGACCAATGAGTGCACATGAATAAATGGATAACCTAAAGTAGAAAAGATAAAGAGTGAAAACAT